TTCACCCTGCGTGAGCAAACATGTCTTCGACCTTACATTTTCCATACCTGGCAACCGCCACACTAAAGTACAAAAGTCCCCATAAGCAGGATCTCACCTTTGCCAAAGGCGAGACCATTCGCGTAACCGGAAGTGCGCCAAAGTCGGATGATGACGACGACGATGATGACGACGACTGGCTAGTTGGCGAGTCTCTCGACGGCAGTCGACAGGGAACATTCCCCGGTAGCTTCGTGCAGCCTTCCGACGAGCCCGATCCGCAAGCTTCGGCAGCCAGTGGCGCCATCCCATCTGAAACGCCCATCCAACCAGAAGGCTCCGTCATCGAGACAGAGACGCAAGAGCCCCAGGCTGACGTTGTCCCAGCTGCTGCCCGGGAAGCTGCCGAGAGTGGCGCAACAGAACAGGCGGGCTTCGGCGCTCCTCTTCCTCCACGCCCTCCTTCACCCGACGCCGATGACGATGAGGAGCCTCAGGTCCCAACGAATGCGCCATCGGCTCCTGCCGAGGGCGTCACGGACGCTGCCTCTCAGTCCGTGTCTGTCGTAGCTGATGAGCCAAATGTGAAGAGCGAGCCGGACTCGTCCGCGGTCGATGCTGCTGCCAGCTCTCAGACACCCGAAAAGAGCGCCTCTGTCGACAGTGCGCTCAGCTCCGGCGCCGCAGCCACGACCACGGCGGGCGCTGCGACCGTCGCTGCTGCTGAGACCACGTCTCCCAGCAAGCGCAGTGCTCCTGCCGCACAATCTCCCCCCGCAGTGAGTGCCAAGCCCGCCGGAATGTCGAGCTCCTTCCGCGACCGCATTGCGGCCTTCAACAAACCTGCAGAAGCTGCGCCCCCGCCTGTGCCCAAGGGCAAGCCTGGAGGATGGAAGCGACCGACCCCAGCGGCAGCCGAAAAGCCTCTTCTTCCGGACGCTGCCTCCACCAAGCCCAGCGTTGGCATCAGCGCGCGGCCGGCTCCCGCCTCAGCGTCTGGCGAGGCCGCCTCTGCCGCACCTTCTGCGCCAAAGGCAACTTCGCCTCCAGTTGCAGAAAGTGGAGGCGGAAGCAGCGGCAGCTTCAGCGCAGCCGATGCCCAGAGCAGCATCAAGATGAGCCTCAAGGAGCGCATGGCCGCCCTGCGACGTCAGGAATCTTCGGCTGCAGCAGCTGCTCCCGAGATCAAACCAAAGCCTTCAATCCCAGGCAAGATTGGGGCCGATCGTCGGAATGTCGCTTTGCAAGGCATGGGCTTGGCCGCTCCCTCCTCTGAGCCCGTTCGTCAAGCCAGTACGGACAGTCTCGAAAGAGAGCCGGCTGCTGTCGAAACCCCTGCTGGAGCCCCCACTAGCCCGGAAGAGGCTGATGCCGAAGCAGGAGAAGCCGTCACTACGCAAGAGCCGCCAATTGAGCCTCAGGCCGCAACATCGACGGACGAGGCTGCTGAGACGGGGCCAATCACTGGCGAGGAAGAGCCCAGAGAGCTAACCGAAGAGGAGCAGGAGGCCGAACGCCGCGCTGCCATCACCAAGCGCATGGCTGCGCTCGGAGCGCGACGCATGGGCGGTGGACCCGCTGTCTTTGGCGCCCCGGCGCCTTCTCCGAGTCGCACCAAGACCGTTTCCTCCATCGCGTCCGAAGACGGGGCCACCACGACGGAGCCCGGCATCGCAGTGCCCGAGACAGCGAAGTCGGACGAGTCTTATAGTCAGGCAGCCGCATCGTCGGGGGCGCCACCTGCTAGTGATACCGTCGTAGCAGATGCTGCTATTGCTAGCACGACTGACACTGCTGCCGATGCCGAGGAAGAGCCCAAGATTCTGGCAGTGCCACGCAGGGCCGCGGCACCTCGCAAGAAGCGATCACCGGCGCCTGCGTCTGCTGCCAGCAATGTCGTGCCAACTGCCGCCGACGATCAAAACGAGGACGCCACAGCTCAGGAGACCAGAGCTGCCGCTCCCGAAGAGGCCGCATTGGCAGAGACCCCATCGGAAGGCGCAACTGTCGATGGCGTTGCTGCTTCCTTCGCTGCCGCAGATGCGATGGACACCGCGGTGGCAGAAAAACCTGACACGGCTTCGGACCGTGGGACGCAAACTCTAGACGCAGCGCAGGATCAAAGCAATGAGGCTGCAGCAGCTGTTGGCAGTGACGACATCAACGACGCTGACCCGAGCATTGGGCCTGCAAACGGACAGGCTTCCGCCGCAGTCGCCGAAGAGTCCGATGCCGAGATTGCCGAAAATCAGCGTCAGCTCGAGGAGTACCTGCGGGGCGAAGGTTACTTTGAAGAACCGTCTGCGGGTGCTGTGGCTACGGACCCAAGCAGCGAGCCCACGGCTCCAGAGGTCGCGAAGGAAGAAGATCTGGTCCAGCAAGAACCGCCGCAGCGCGAGAGTCTGACATCACCTAAGCCACCAAGCAGACCGCCCAGCACGCGTCCGCCGATCCCCAAGACTTCGCTCCCACCGCCTCCGGGAGACACGCAGCCGTTGCGCTCCGAATCGCCTGCCATTGAGAAGCCTGCGACTCCTGCCGTAGAAACAGAGGCAGGCTCTCGTCGAGGTAGTCTGATCCCACCGGTGCCCCGAACTTCGCTGCCTGTGCCTGCCGAGGAGCCAGAGTTGGCCGACGCCGAGACGTCAGACGCTGAAGAGGTCGACCAGGAACGAGAAGAGCCCGCCGGACCCATCCTGGCGGCTCCGCGACCGAGGATGGCGATGCCCACCGAAGATCCTGAGGACGAAGATCTGCTGGCCGCCGCCGATGCAGCCCGCGATCCAGAGGAGCCTGCGATCGGTCAGACTAGCGAAGTTTTGCAATCCGAGGAGCCTGCCGCGGCCGAGCACGAGCACGAGCAGGAGCAGGAAGAGCCTGTCGAGTTGACCGAAGAGGAGCAGGAAGCACAGCGCCGAGCCAATCTTGCGCGCCGCATGGCTGCCCTCGGAGGTCAGCGGATCGGTGCGTTCCCGGGCATGGCCCCACCTCCGATCATGGGCGCTCCGATGCCGGCTCGCAAACCAGTGCCGCAGCAGCCATCCGCCGACGAACAAGAGGAGGAAAGCACACATGGCCGGGCCCTGTCCGGTCAGGATGCGACTTCTCCCGGCTTGGAGTCATCTCAGGAACGTCCGTTGAGTCCCCCTCGAGGCCCACCGCGCGGCGGCATGGCAATTCCTGGTCTCACTGCAGCACCCGGTATGAATGCCCAGGATGCCGAGGGTGATGCTCTCGAGCGCGCGCGATCGCCAGGCGCTGTCAGCGTGGGTGAATCTGCGCCGATTCGCTTGGCTAGCCCACCTCCTATTCCGAAGAGCCCGCCTCCCCCATCTCGGCCCGTCCCTGGAGCAGGTATGGCGCCGGTGCTGCCGCCGGGTAGACCTCCCAGCACGGGTCCGAACATGTCAAATCTTGACGAAGCGGTTCGTGCCGTCACGCCGAGCCAGTCGCCCAGCATCGGCCGCAGCTCCTCGATCAAGCCGCCCATCCCTCATGGTATCGCTCACTCTCGTAATGCCTCTGCGACCGACGCAGGCAGCTTGACCGGCGGCGAGACAGGTGACATGCAGCCCGGCCGTATTCATAGCCCTCCTCTGCCTGCCACTAGCCCGCCTCCGCGACCTTCTTCGCGCGCACCGCCGGTGCCGGCTGTACAGACAACGTTGCCGCCCCGCCGTCAGGGCTCGACTGCGTCGAGCAACGCCGACTTTGTTGTACCGGCTTTGGAGGCGCCCATGTCGCCGTCCGGAGCTGTGCACGGCGCTCCGACCGATGGAGGCCTATCGCCGTCGATGCAGCACCCGCTGCCACCAACACCTGTCATCGCCGCTCCTGCTGCACCTGCGAGCACCATGTCCACCTCTGGCAGTGGCGTGGGAGCGCGTCAATCTTCGCGCGACCTGGATCTGATGCCAAGCAGCCGATGGTGGCGTCACGGCCTCAGTCCGTTGCGACTTCCGCCCACGGTTGCTGGACGTCCAGATGCGATTCTTTATGCCGACACCTCGTCGGATGGCCCCACTCACAGCGCGCAGATTTACCTTCTCTTCGAGGATTACTCAACCACGGTCATTTCGCTCTCGTTCCAGGATGACGACGCAGAGGAGGCACACACGGTGCTGCAGCAGCGTCACAGCTTCCCGCCGCCCAAGCCGGCGGCGGAGCAGCTACGACAGTGGTCTTCGCAGGTCGGCAGTGCACTCGCCAAACTGGCTGCGGATGCAGCCAAGCAGTCGTCATCGCCGGTTGGCGACGGCAGCCCACGGGCATTTGTGCAGGCGATGGTGTCGTCGATTCCGTTTGCCCTGCCTCCTGTAGGCCATTCGCTGGGTGCGGTGATTCTGACGCAGGTCGGACCAACCACGATGGAGTCGGCGCCCGACGAGGTTCGTCCCGGCGATCTGGTCAGTTGCTCCCAGGCCGACTTCCGCGGAAAACGCGGCCTGGCTCCCTACCACATGACGTTTGGCACACAGCACGAACCGACCACCGCCATCGTCGTCGAGTGTGAATCCAAGAAGAACAAGCTCCGCTGCATCCTCCAGTCTCCCAACAACAAGAAAGGGCTTCCTGACGAAGTCAGTCTTCGTCTCGATGACCTCAAGAGTGGCATCGTTAAGGTCTTCCGTGTTCCCCCGCGTCAAGGTTGGGTTCAGGATTGGTAGTGGTGTGCTGCGCCAACCCTTACACCGGTCTACGAACCGGTGTGGCGTGACACTCCTTCCACAATCACGCTCAGTGCTGTACCTAGAAAGCGGCTCCCAACAGCAGATCTGACAAATCACATTACTTGAATCCGTTCGAAATCAACTCTGAAGTACATGACAAATGTATGCTGTAGCCTGGCTCCATACCGGAATGAGCGCCCGGTGAGAACAGTAACGAAGTCAAGTACGTGCTGAGCAGCTGGAAGACGAAGCAGACTGTCTGACAGAAATTGGTATGGACAACAGCTGGGAGAGAGTGGAACTTCGAGCGCGATTGGAATGCCGTTATGGTGGAGAAAATAGCAAAAAATCAGGTCGTACTGGGATTCGAACCCAGGGCAAGAGAAGGTCAGACACTGCTGCGCCGAAGCGCTGCTCGATCAGAATCTCCTAAGTTAACCAACTACTCCATACAACCTTGATTGGCTCGAATTCCCAACGCTGCACATATATACTACCATAATTGATCGAGCATGTTTGAGTTATGTTGGCACCATCCATGCTGCCGACAATGGTGACAGAGCGGAGCAGATGGCAGACTTGAGTGCTGCAAGGCAGTCGGGACGCTAGACAGGCTACGATGCACTCGAAGAAGGGGAAACGCTCTGCCCATTCATGCCGCTTGATGTTGATCTTCAAGCTCTTCGCTGGACGGGAGCAACGGCTCTAATGTAGGATCGAATGTTGCTTGAAGAGTCAACGGGATATTGTTGCCCAAGACTATAATATTCTCAAAATGCATGAATAGAAAGTTTAAAAAAAAAAATCCGTCAAAAAAATTCAAGCATTTTCTGGGCAAGAGCAAGCCAGGGGGAAAAATGCAAAAAGGAATGAATTTGGATGGAGACTTGGGGGATTGAACCCCAGACCTTCAGCAATCCAACTGTCGAAGCAGACATTGCAAAGCAGACGCTCTACCACTGAGCTAAATCCCCAATTGATGTCTATACCCTAAATGTATGCGTATATATTACTGTCGGTATGGCATTCGGTAGAGAGATCGTGTTGGACCCTGCCGTCTCGCCTGACTTTGAATGTTTCTGTTCGTCATTCGCTCCATCCCTCCACCCTCATCTCATCTTGTCCCTTTCGTCTCGCCGGTCTGTCTGACACCTACATATCGAGCTCGGCCTTGGTCCCGGTCCCAACAATCACCGTATAGTCTGCATCCCACGCGTTGGCAAATTTTTTCGGCCTTTCATCGCGGGGCTTACCGGCTAGGATTGCAGCACGTCTCAATTGGTCGATCCAGCTCTGCGTCGCAAAAGTCGCTATTGCTCCTCTGTGGTCGCTGTAGACCATTCGATATCCGAGAATAGTCGTCGGGGAGGAGCTCTGGGGCTTTGGACTGGCCTCGGCTTCTGTGGAGCAGGATGGCGCCGGCGACGCCGACACGCACAGGCGGACGTGGAGGTCGGCAGCGGCAGAGTTCTTCGTTGCATCCCCCGTCTTCGTTTGGAACGGCGGGTGGGCATGGGCATCATCCGTATGCGACGCCAGGTACAGCAGGGGGACGAGGGGGTGGAAAGGTAGCAGCGGCAGCGGTGGGAGCAGGAACAGCCGGCCTCACGCACGAAGTGGGCGGGACGCCGTTTGTGCACCCCGCGCTAGCGTTGGCGACCGGCTCCACAGCGGCAGCAGCAGCGACAACAGCAGGCATGTCGAGCGTCCTAGCAGCCCAAGTTCGTGGACGACGACCCTTCAACCACCGCAACCTGTTCGCCCGAGACCTCCAGAATCTCATGTACGCGTACGGGGACGCGCCCAACCCAGACCCAGACTCAGTCACCCTGATGGAGGAAATGACGGTCGACTTTATCACTGATTTGTGCTGTCGCGCGCGTCCGAGTCCGTATGCGCTCGGACTGGGGACGAGTGCTATCTCGAATAGTTCGAGTGCGTTTGGGGCGACGTTGGAGCAGTTTGCTGCTGCCATGGCTGCGGCTGGAGGAGGGGGAGCAGGGGGGGACGGCACTCTGATCAGTAACGGCGCCGACTTGGCAGCAGGAGCTGGAGCTGGAGCTGGTCTCCAAAGAACCCTTCCCCCACGCGCACCCCACCGGCTCCGAGTCAAGCTGGAAGACTTCCGGCACGCGCTGCGCAAAGAAGTCGAGTCGAAGAAACTCGGACGTATGGAGCAGCTCCTGTACGCCGACAAGGTGGTCACTGAAGCGCGACGCGTAGGCGGTGTGGAAGAAGCGGCCGAGCGAGCAGGTGCACTGCAGACCGACAACCTTCCACCTCTTCCCGCGGGCGGTTTGGGATCGAACGCAGCCGCCGGCGGTGGCGGTGGTGCCCGCTCTCGTCGCGGCACGACGATGGAGACGGGTGACGCGGACGATGACGACAAGGACGACAATGACTCTGATGCTCCCGGTACGCCTAGACCCACTTCTGGGCGGGGAAGCGGCAGAGGCCGTGGGCGAGGAAGCCGCGGAGGCGGCCGTGGAAGAGGACGTGGCGGCGGCCGCGGGAAAGCGGCCTCCAAGACAGCCTCGGCGCGTAGCTCCGTCCAGCCTTGAGCTCGCAGCTCTGGACTGCCACACAGCCATTTCTTTGCAAGCGGTCATACAAGTAGTAACGTCGTTGCCTCTCATCACACCTGTCTTTGGCAGGTGCAGCTCTCCTTTCTTCTCGACAATCTTGTATTTTTAGACAAATTTCACAATCTGCAGCCGTTCACTCGCACACCAGGATGACAAGGAAGAGTAGTTTTGCGTTGCCTAGCGCAGTTGCACGGATAGTCTCCAGAAAGGGAGTCTACAGGGAGAGACGAAGACCGAGTGAGCGGCTAAGTGAGTCGAGACGGTGGTTGATAACGTCTTCGTCTGGCTCGGTGAGGAACTCGACGGAGGTGCTATTGTTGCTGTTCTCTGCGTCAGTTTCGTTTTCAGGCAGCGAGGCGTCTGGTGCTTTATACGCGATCAAGTCACGTAGGGTCCTTCGGCTGCATGTTGGGAGGAAAGACGCGAGCAGAGCACGTAGTCTTGAGCTGGTGCTCTGACTCTCACCCTCGCCCCCAGTCTCTACAGTCTCTTCCGTTTCGGGTTGGACCAAAAACCTGTGGGCAGCAGCGCTCAGATGGTGGAGCGCGACACGGTACGGAAGGGTGCGCTTCTGTCCAACGGCGTCGGTGGCCGTGGCCAAGAAGCGTGCATAGTGCTGCAGCATGTTTTCATCACTGTCTTGCCACGACAGTAGCCAGCGAGCACACGGTGTGGCAGGCATGCTGCCCAGAGAGTCCCGGTAGTCGTTCCAAACGAGACTGCGGAAGTCTTGCGGCATGCCTTGTTCGGAGGGTTCGAGATAGAGAGCTGCACTTTGGATGCCGGTGCTGATGTCGCTGCGGGTGTTGGTTTCGCGGCTGGCGGGGCCGCAAGCCACGGTCATGACGACACGGGCAAAGTTGGCATCCCCGAACGAAATGGCGTCGTACAGGCCGACGAGATCAGTAAAGAACTGGTAGAACGGGACATCGCTTCCGAGCGTAGCTGCAGTCCAGGCTTCCAAGTCGACGATGCCGGGCTGAACATCGATCTGTCCGGCATTGGCGACCGAGAATTGAGCTCGCAGCTCCACAAGCCGATCCGTTACATCCAGTAGGCTGGTGAGACTCTTTGAAACCGACGGGTCTCGGAAGATGTCCCGGCCCGTCAGAACACCGGACGCCTTTTGTCGCTTCTGTCCCGACTCGTCCGTGTCGGTAAACGTGTCGTGCTGATCCTTTTCCAGCATGTACACTTTCATGATACCCAGCAGAATCTGCTCGGGACTCGGCAGTGCGACGAGAATAGCTCGTGCTTCAGGCGTCAAGTCTGCTGACGCTACGCTCGTCCGACGGGGCGCAATGGCCTCATCGAATCGCTTCAGAAGCGAGCCGAAGATTTGCACGGCGAGTCTTGTAGACGCCTGGACAATGTCGAGTTCATTGGCTTTCCAGTCCGCGGCCAGGTTGTCGGGGCGGTTAAAGACGGCCGTGTTGGCGCTGTGCAAAAGATCGTCCAGTGGGAGCAGGGGCCAGTCTGCCCTCAGCGGTAGGCCGTTGGCTGGACACCTCCAGAGCTCGGTGCCGGTAATAGGGTCGAGCTCCTTGTCCTCCGCTGGCTTCGAGTCACCGCGGCCAAACGTGTCACACTTGAAGAGAGTCTGGATCTGGTCAAAGGGCAGCGAGATCTCAGCTTGACCTCCATCTCCACTCTGTGTCTTTGAAGCTCGTGAGCCTTTGATGCATTCGGAGAGGAATGGATCCAAGGTTTCCAGAGCTTCCTGCCCCACGAGCTGGCGTGTCTGGTCACGAACGACGTTTAGGACCCGATGCGAGTATGCCGTGTCTAGTCTCGACACGGCCAGCAAGTCCTCCAGAGGATCGTGACGCGCTGTGCTCTTGCTCATGAGCGTCGAGGCCACAAGCGCAGAAAGCTCCTGCCGAAAGACGAGTCGACCGCTGGTCCTGAAACTGGGCGAACCCAGTTTCTTCCAGATCGGTGTTGTCGCAATGAGCAGCATCACATCGCTTTTCAATCCGAGATCTGCGACCGGATCATTGGCCTGTGTCGTGTCTGCGATGTCGGATCCGGAGGAGAGAGTCGATTCCGCTTTGGAAAGTGTGTGCGCGAGCGATATCATCCGTCGCAATGCGCGACTGAGCTCGTCCAGATCACCGAGGGAGGCTGTAGTTGCAATCGAAGCGCAATCCGCAAGGCACTGCTGGAAAGCGGTTCGAAGAAGGTCTTGACAGCTTACGAGCACTGATCTGCACGGGGCGAGGTGTTTCGACAGCGCCTCCTTGTCGAGATGCATAGAGTAATCGGTCCATTTCTCGACAAAGTGGCATAAGGCGCCCAGCGCCGGGGCAACGCTTCTTGTCCTCGGAGCTGCCAAGGTGGTACGGCCGAGAAGAGACAGATCCGGAACGACCTCGATCAAGTCGCGGATCTGTGCCCAGTCGACATCGTGCAGGTTCATGAGGTGGTGCGGGTCCTTGGCACAGTGAGTCCACGCCGCGAAGCACTCAAAGATTCTCTGTGCTGCTACCGCCTGTGCCTGTTCGAGGGCTGTCGGGTTGGCTGAATCGCTGGCTCTGCTCACAAACTTTGCAAGTGTCGCCGATGCCCATCTTCCGCTCTCGTGCCAGGCTTCCCAAGCCCGTCCGACCACCGTCGCATAAAAGCCATACAAGGCAAGCGCCGCATAGATCTGCAGGACAAGGTCAAACGTCTCGTAGGCGTGTAGCTCGATGGCGTCGTCGACAGCCCCGGTGCTATTTGGCACGATTTTCCAGGGCTGTGTGAGAACGAAGCGGAGCAGATGGTCTGCGATACCATCGACCACAATGGTTTTGGCAATATCTCTTTGGCACAGTACACCTACATGCAGCAGACGAAGCGCCCACAAGGACGGCAAAGCATCAAAGCTGCCTGCTGTGTGATTCCCGGCGCTGCCGTCGCTAGGTGGCCAGGCAACTCGAAGGCCAAGAAGCACAGCAAAGTCGCCAAGCGTGTGCTTACCCGAGCGGGCACCGAAGACCTGCGTCGCGTGAGACACCGAACACATGGCAATGCGACAGAGGAGCTCGAGCGCCAGATCTGCCTCCCAAGCCGATGTGACGATGCTGTCCGTGCCGTCCATGAAGAGACTCACAATGCCTGAATCCAGCATAGTCTGAGCCCAGTCCTTCTGGATGCTCCGCTCGGCCTCGCTCGCCTCGTCGGCCTCTGAACGCTCGGGCATTTTGAGATCTTTCGTTGAGAGTGTGCGCCAGTCAAGATGCTGCATGACACCAGCCACTGGTGCGTACCCGGAAGGCAAGGAGCGAACAGCATATACCGTACATCGGAGTGCCGCAGCTCGAACGGTAAAGTTGCGATCTCCCAATAGCCATCGAGCGATCATGATGATACTTGCACGCAGCAAGTAATGCGAGCCGTTGAGAAGC